GTTCCTCACTCTCAGCAACTTTAAGATGCATGGACTTCAACTCTCAGAATTCCCCAGCCGGCTAGGGAATTCTGGGAGTTGAAGTCCATGCATCTTAAAGTTGCTGAGAATGAGGAACACTGATTTAGAGGGATGCTTTGCAAAGCAATGGCTCTCTCTTTTTCTCCTCTATTCAGCAATTTCGCTTGGGTGGCATCTTGGTGGAGCACACACAGCTCATTCAACAAGGGAAGCCCTTAGAACAGTGGATCTGAGCCTTCAGGTAAATGTGATCCTTTGCCCCTTAGAGTAGTGGGTCTGAGGACAGCTGTGGTCCTCTGGGGAAGCCCTCCAACCCATTCACACTGCCCCATTCCAAATCTCCTTGATTCAATGTATGAACTGATACCTTTCTCATTTCAGAAGCATAGGATGCACGCACATTGTGCCGACACACGCAGCTCCTTTCCTTCCCGTCACACAACCCTTCCACCTGGACGCCCATGATGGACTTACCCTTTTTTGTAGTCCTTTGGAAGATGTTGGCATTCTCCCCAGTGGTGAAGAATTTGAAATAAGAACAGTTAGCTTCTGAAAAGAAAGAAAGCATTTCCCCTGATTATCATTATATTATACTGTTGTACTACTATTTATTAAAGTTATCTCAGACAAAATTCATTTCTCACAAGTCGCTCAATGTTTCTTCCACTTTGGTTACTCAAAGAATAAATAAATCCAACCCTATTCCCAAAAAAGAAGGGCATTATGTTTTTTTCCCCTTCCAAATACTAGCTATACAGAATAGTCCAAGCAAGGAAACTTGAGAGTTGCTATGAACCTATGAAAATCCTCCCAGATTTACTTTCTCTGTAGAAACTGTGTGTGCCCTCTCATATATAAATGAAGCATAAATCTCTCTCTGTAATAATTTTCCAGTGTAATTTCTTTTGGCTGTTCAGATTCAGAAAAAAAAACACACAGACCTTTCTATGGGACTGGATCGGAGAGTGTTTCTGACATCACATTCCTCCTCTGAAATAAAATCTCTTTCTCAGGGACCACAGAATTGCTGCCCTGGTTACTATTAATAAATTAATTACTAACACCTTAACATACTATTTTTGTAAGCCTTTCGTTCCAAATCAATGTTGGTATAAATCTTTGCCAAATATTCATGATAGAAGCATTAAATATCAAACATGTATTCATAAATTAAAATAATGCTCAAGGTGACAAGCACATTTTAATTTATGCCCTTCTAAGGTATAATGAAGGAAGGTTAACTTACTCTATAACTTGATTAGAGTTTATCTTTACAACACCACTTTGGTTGTATGTAATCACATGTACTTTTTGCCATATGAACATTTCACAATAGAAAATATTTTTGTACCAATATCCAGATTACAACCCATGGTTTATGATTATTAGAAATTTAGATGCAGCAAAGTTGCAGCAAAGTTAAATTGCAGCTGAGAGAACTTGTCATTATTTAACCTATTTAATCAAAAATATTCTTTCATTGCAATGACTATAAAACTGTCTAGAAATGTGCTGGAACACTGACCAGCACATTTCTTGGTTTTATGAAACATTTGTCTAAATTTTAAACACTGAAAACAGAGAAAATGTGCTCCGTTTAATTCATATTGAATACTTTTTCAGCATGCAGAGGAAAGTGTATCCTTGGTCAAAATCAGTTTAGTTGCCTAGAGATTGTAAGGGAGTTTATAAAGTAAATTAAAGCCTTTTGCATCAAGATTAAAACAGCAAGAAATACAGCCAGTTAGTTGCATTGATAGCTAAAGTTCTAGGTAATGGTGAAATGGATCTATAAGATTATGGAAGCAAGTTTTTTTTTTAACTAGCCATTTCAGGGTGACAGCAATGGTACTATCTAGCTAAAGAGAATCTAAACAACCTAGAAAAAAGCAATGATAAATAACTTCTATACTGTAGCCAAGGAAACAGCATAGATGTCTTCATGTGGCCGCCAGGAGTTCAGCCAGACTAGAAGAAAACTTCAATTTCTTATTTCAACAATAACAGAGCATAATATGAAGACATAGAATTTTTGGATTATGAATGATGATGGTTCAGTTAATAATAAAAATTCATCTATTCAGCCAGCATTACTGGGTGCTTTATTAGGCAATCTTCTAATTCAGATTTTTTACACGTTGCCGTCAAATTATGGAAATTGAAGTCTAATATGTGGAGGATGCCAAGCTAGAGGAAGCAGCATTAAAAAAAATAAAATTAATTAAATTAATTAAATTAAAATAATGGATATTGCTAATTTTTCCATGTTATCTTAAAGCACTAGGAATATAGTTTAGATACAGATTTTTCCCCTTTGGATTTTTTCCTAGAATTTTTTTTTTTCATTTTTCCAGTATTTAAAAAGTGAAATGCTAACCATTCTGTCAACTATTTAACTTATAATCACACAATTTTGAATTTTTCCCCAATGTAAATTTCTCCAGTCAAGAAATTAATGAGGTTTCTAAGTTACATATGTATTCTTTCAGCTTTGTATTTTTTAAAAAATTGCATTAAAATTCATAATGTCTACTCTTTTAATGATTTTTAACAGTTAGATTATTTAATCTGCAAATTCGCTGTTTTATTTATCTCACTTTTTTCCTGAGAGGCTTATTACAAAAATCTTACTTGAATCCCAGACCAAAGACTAGCTGGTACATGGAATCCTGTTTATTGAGAGGAAAAAAGATTGATGTAACTTCGACTAACCTCATTGATCAGTTGCTCATTTTGAAAATTATTACTTTAATAAGTCTAAGCATCCTAGACTGCTTTAAGCCATACAAATGCCAAAATAGAAATATAAGATCACTTGTTCAGTTTAATCTATCTGATGTTATGAAGTGATGGAAATGCATTCTTGAATATGAATTAGCAGCAGCAGAAAAAAGTATAATCATGTTGTTCTGTAAGAATCTATCAAAACTTCTCCGATCAATCTTTCTACATGTTTTGGATTACACTCCCATTGGATGTAATTCATGAGTTATAGTCTAAGACATTTGGATGGTGCCATGCTGGAGAAAGCTTGCCCATCATAATTATTTGATTTAATAATTTGAATGAACGATTCCAGAAGTAACTTCCAGGCAATTTCTCTTGAATTAATTACAGTTACAATGTTTTTTCAATTTGGGGGAGGCCTTTATTTAAGGGAAAAAAAAGATGAAAAAGAAAGAAAGAAAGAGCAAAGCAACAACAGCACATTTTATCAGGATTCCCATGCACAGAGACACACACAGAATAATATCGTTTTAGTTTTACACAGTTTCAGTAAAGGATGGCTGTATTACTCAGTGGATGGAAAAGCTGATGTATTTTGTGGCTTATGAATGGGCTGCTTCCAGATGCAAATTATGTAAGGCGATTGCAATTAAAATCACAACTATAATCCCACTGTATTTCTGCTTGCGTACGCTTTTCCAAGTTGCCAACCGTTTCTTATAGCATTCCCCTTTATATGGTTATATATTATATAAAAATGCCTGCCTGCCAGATGTTTCTGCCACAAACCACGTAATACGTGAGAAGAAAACAGCTTCTCCTTTTAACTACCCAAACATCCTTTGGCTTTGTGGATTGTTGTGGCCATCGTTCCTTCCTGCAGGTTATATCTGCAATGCACCGGCTGGTTTTGCAGTCCTGAGAATTAGCAACTCTCTCGCGTTTTATTTTCCCCCTAAAGCAAAAAGTATATATAAATGTAAGAGGAAGGTGGTATACAGTAACTTATAAACCGATAGATGTCTAGTCTTGCTGGCTTCTCATCCGATTTGATTGCTAATAAAAAAATGAAGGGGCATATAAAGCGTTGGTGGAGAAATCTGGGAAATAAGAACAAAGATGCTGCAGTTGCTAATCCTTCCTTTTACATATGAACCCATTTACAAACTTTATTCAAGAGGGAGGCAGTTTCTCAAATTTGGCAACTGAAGCAGAGGGTTAGGGCCCTGTCCCCCAAATATTCTCTGAGATTCAGGCCTCGGGCGCATCTTTTCCAAGTCTGCACATGACCCAGTGGAGTAGATGTGATTGTGTCCCCAGAGACTAAAGCCTTGGCAATAATTGCATCCTTTTGAGCTGGACAAATTCCGAGTAGCCTCAGGGCGCAGGAGGGGAGACGTATGAAAGACGATTGCGCTCAGATTCACTGTGAATTAAGATTATAGGACCCTCCCAAAGCAGGATTCCCAGCCCAACCCAGCAGGTTTTTGCCCAGTGCAAAAAATCGTTTTTATGGGCAAGGGTTGGCGGGAAAAGAACCCCCCTTTACCCAGCATTGGAGTTGGGGAGCTGGCGGGGTAGAAGCAATGCCTTTTCAAGATGGCAAGACTTGATAGCAAGCCGGCTGTGATATGTTTAACCCATGAGTAAGTAGAGACTTGAGAAGTGGCTTTATCATGCCACAGAGTTGCCAGCTGGGAGGGGGTCAAAAAAGTCAAGATGGTGGCCACAACCATGCCCCTCCCCCTTTTTACATGCATCACAATGGGCCACCATTCTCTTGACTTTGTATTGACCCCCTCTCTGCAGAAACCCTTGAAAAAGTCATCCATTTTTTACACAATATTAGAAATACAGGAATTCTATGACTGGTGTGAGGTCATTTCCACATCAGAGCCCTTAGATGTGCTAACTATAACCAGATGCAAATGCAGGCAGGAGGAAAGAGAGATTTCAGGCCTGGGATCTACATCTTGGCCAATGGGAGGTGTCCTCATGTTTTGATAGAGCTCACCAATGTTAATATCAGTACCAAGTAGCCATTTTTAGTTTCTTGCAATGCTCTCTGGAGTGTTAGGGGAATTCAGGATACATGTAGTCCTCACTTAACGGCCACAATATGGACCAGAAAATTTGTTTTTAAGCAGGGTGGTTGTTAAGTGACTCGTGCCCAATTTTATGACCTTTTTTGCAGCAGTCATTAAGTGAATCACCATGGCCATTAAGCGAATCACACAGTTTCCTATTGATTTTGTTTGCCGGAAAGTTGCAAATGGCGATCATGTGACCCTGGGACGCTGCAACTGTCATAAGTACGAGCTGGTTGCCAAGCACCCAGATTGCAATCACGTGACTGCAGGGGTGCTGCAACGGTTGTAAGTGCAAGGACCGGTTGTAAGTCTCTTTGTTCAGCACTGTTGTAACTTTGAACAGTCGCTAAACAAATGGTTGTTAAGTGAGGACTACCTGTAGTTTTCTGACAGCATGGAAACCTACAGTTGGGGTCCAAAAGCCCTTTCAAAGAGGTTCTTTGACAGGTCAGTGGCCTGGGGTGACACTGGAAAGAAACATCACTGCAGAAGGAGATAGTTGATGCTGGACCCAGCTCAACCAAAGGCAAGGGTGGTTCTCCTTATAGGAAGCTAAGATGGGCATATTAGCTAGCACATGGCCCCAATTCCTTTTTGGCCAGGTGATGCTCCTCTCTTCTGCCCAGCCCAGCAGCCCATGGTGGTATCCTACCAAAGGCACTCAACCTTGTCAGATTAAGAAAGAAACCAGTCATAATGAAATAGTATTATTTAAAGCAGAATTTGTGATAT